GGGGATACCTACATCTAAACCATAACATAAGAGAACAGCAGTAGCTTGGTATGGCATAAAAACAGACATGTAGACTAATGGAATGGAAGGCACACAGACAAACTCAAAGACACGGGCATCTGATCCTTGTCAGTGGAGATAAAAACAAATGTTGGGAGGAAAGACAGCCTTTTTAACAGATGGTGCTGTGAGAATCGGATACTTATATGTAGAAGAATAAAATTAGATACTGGTCTCTCACCCTGCACAAGGGTCAGTTCCAAAAAGTCTTTTGGATTTATATTAGCCTAGGAATCAGATTACTGTGTCAGCCATCTTTTTGTCACTGTGAGTGAGGTAACGGAGGAAAACAACTTAGAGGAAGAAAACTTCACTTTGGGCTCAGAGTTTGAGAGGTCCAGTCCACGGGCGGTCACCTTCATCGCTCTGATCCTGTGCGGGGGCAGAACATCGTGGAGGAAGGGTGAGCTGGGTGAAAGCTGTCCGCTCAGAGCCGTGAGGAAGCCAAAAGACAGAGAGGAGCCAAGAACAAAATACAATTCCCAAAGGCACGCCTCCAGTGACCTATTTCCTCCAGCCAGGCCCCTCTTGCCTATAGTCACCCCAAAACAACAGTGATCCTTTCAAATGATTAGTCCAGCAGATGGGTTGATCCACTGATGAAGTCACAGCTCTCATACTCTGATTATGTAAGCTCTGAACATTACCACACTGAATGACCCATGAAGCTTTTGGGGGGACAACTCATATTCAAATCATAACAACCACAAACTTGGCAACTCCTAGAGGAAAACATAGGATCACACTTCAACATACAGGCACAGGCAACAACTTCCTCGATAAGACTCCTAAAGCTCAGGAAAATATCAAGAATGAATAAGGGATGGCATCAAATTAAAAAGTTTCTACACGCAAAGGGAACAATAAAAGAGCACGAATAGAGGGGCTATAGAATGGGAGACAATCTTTGCAGGATACTCTCCTGACAAGGAAAGAACTCAAGGAACTTAATATCCCAAAACCCAAATAACCCAATTAAAAACTGGCAAATAATCTAAACAGATACTTCTCAGAAGAAATATAAATGGGCCAGGCTCAGTGGTGCATGCATGTAATCCCAGCTCGGGAAGCTGAGGCAGGAGGATCTCAAGTTCAAAACCAGCCTCAGCAAAAGTGAGGTGCTAAGCATCTCTGTGAGACCCTGTCTCTAAGTGAAATATAACATGGGGCTGGGGATTTGGCTCAGTGTTCAATCCCCGGTACTCCCTACCAAAAAGGATATATAAATGGTTAACTAATATATGAAAAATATTCAATATCCTCAGCAATCAGGAACATGCAAATTGAACTACAGTGAGATTTCATCACTCCAGTTAGAATGGCAATAACCAAGAACACAAATAATAATAAATGCTGACAAGGATATGGGGAACGAAGGAACATGGAGGTTCTTCAAAAGACTAGGAAGGAAAGCATCATATGAACTATCTATGCCACTTCCTCATATTTATGCAAAAGAATTAGTCAGCACACTACAGCAATAGTTGCATATTCATGTTTACAGCAATGGAATTCACAATAGCCAAGTTATCGAATCAGTCTTCGTGTCTATCAGCAGATGGTATATATATGCAATGGAGTTTTACTCAGTAATAAAGAATTAAACTGTGGATAGAACTGAAGACCATCATGTTATATGAAGTAAGCCAGAATCAGAAAGTCAAGGTCATATGTTTTCTCTCATAAGTTGAAGCTAGAGAGAAAAAAAGAATAAAAAGTTATCTCATAAAACTAGGGAGACAAGCTGACTAGAGGAAGGGGATGTGAGAGAAAGTGGAAGGCAGGAAAGGGGAGGTGCTGGGGAAATAGATCAACCAAATTATGTCACGAATATATCACCATAAATCCCACTATTGCATATAACTATAATAAACCAATTTAAAAAAAACATGAAGCTGGAGGTATCAGAATACTTGACCTCAAACATCTTACAAAGCAGCAATGATCAAAACAGCATAATACTGGCATAAAAACAGACATACAGGGCTGGGGATGTGGCTCAAGCGGTAGTGCGCGCCTGGCATGTGCGGGGCACTGGGTTCGATCCTCAGCACCACATAAAATAAAGATGTTGTGTTCACCAAAAACTGAAAAATAATTATTAAAAAATTCTCTCTTTCTCTCTCTTCTCTTCTTTCTCTCTCTTCTCTTCTGCCTCTCTCTCTCTCTTTAAAAAAAAACAGACATACAGACCAATGTACAGTACAGAGCATCAGAAATATATTCTTGCATCTGTAACCAACTGAATTGCAACCAAAATGCCAAGAATACAAAATGGGCACAGGACTTATCTTCAATAAGTGATGGAGAAACTGAATACTCACATGCAAAAGAGTGAAACTAGACCTCTCTTACCATAATACTCAAATCAAGTCAAAAAGGACAAAGGACTTAAAACAAGACCTGAAACTACAGAACTACTATAAGAAAACAGAAGAGAAGATTCATGACATTGAATTTAGCAATAATTTTTGCTTAAGATTCCCAAAACAAAACCAACAAACCAGAAATAGGCAAATGGGATTATATAAAGCCAAAAACTTCTGCACAGCAAAGAAAACCAACAGAGTAAGGAGACAGCTAGAGAATGGGACAGAATGTTTTTAAACTATCCATCTAATAAACAGCTGATATCTAAAATACATAAGGAACTCAGACAACTCAATATCAAGGAAATTAAAAAATAAGCAAAGGCTGGGGGTGTAGCTCAGTGGTAGAACGTTTGCCTAGTGTGCATGAGGATCTGGGTTTGATCCCCAGCAGTAAAACAAACAACAACAAAAATGGGCAAAGAAACTAAATAAAAATTTCTCAAAAGAAGATATGCAAGGACAACAAGCTATTAAAACACATTCAGCATCTTCAATCACAGGCAAATGCAAACTAAAACCTCACTATTTTATAACTGTTAGGATGGCTATTGCTAAAAAGACATAGAATAACAAACATTGGTGAGAATGCAGAGAACAGGGACACTTGCATACCATCAGTGGGAATGTAAACTAGCACATCTACTAAGTAAAACAGCATGGAATCTCATCAAAACATTAAAAACAGAACTACACATGATCCAGCAATCCTGGGAATATATCCACAGGAAATGAAATCCATATATTGAAGAAACATCTGTACTCCCATGTTTATTACAGCACTATTCACAATAATCAAGATATGAAATCAGCCTAAATGTTCATCAAGAGATGAATGGATGAAAAAAATGTGGTATACATAAAATTAAAAACTATTAATCCAGAAAAAGATGAAATCATATTATTTGTGGCAACATGAATGGATCTAAAAGAAATCACACTTGGGGTTGGGGATGTGGCTCAAGCGGTAGCACGCTCGCCTGGCATGTGTGCAGCCCTGGGTTCGATCCTCAGCACCACATACAAATAAAGATGTTGTGGCGCTGAAAACTAAAAAATAAATATTAAAAATTCTCTCTCTAAAAAAAAAAGAAATCCACTAAGTGGTTATTAAATCAGGTATAGAAAAACAAAGTCCACATGAGCTCACTTAACATGCAATATAAGAAAATCAATCTCATAGATGTTGTGAGTAGAATAATGGTTACCAGAGGATAGAGAGGGTGGGTAAGGAGGATGAGGAGAGGGTGGTCAATGGGTACAAATTTTCAGTTAGGTAGGAGGAATAAGCTTTGGACCACCATACAATGAGATGAGTATAGACAATAATATAGTATTATTTACTTCCAAATAGCTAGAAGAGAAGATTCTGAATGTTTCACTGCAAAGAAATGATTGATATTGGAGATGATGGATATGCTAACTATCTAGATTTGATCATTACATAGTGTGTATACATACCAAAACATTACAGAGTACCCAAAACTTTGTAAAATTATTATCAATTACAAAATGTTATTAAAGATTTTCAAAAAATAGTCTATGTAAAAAACACCCTGAAAATGTTTTCTTCTTAAAAAAGCAAGCCAAGCCAGGTGCGGTGGTGCATGCCTGTAATCCCAATGGCTTGGGAGGCTGAGACAGGAGGATGGAGAGTTCAAAGTCATCCTCAGCAACAGCGAGGCATTAAGCAACTCAGTGAGACCCTGTCTCTAAATAAAATACAAAATAGTGCTGGGGATGTGGCTCAGTGGTTGGGTGCCCCTGAGTTCAATCCCTGGTACCAAAAAAAAAAAAAAAAAAGCAAGCCAGAGATGCAGAGAAAACGTTTGCAAAACATACCTAATAAAGGTCTGAACTTCAACTAAAAAATAAAACAAAAAAATCCCCCCAAACTAAAAGCTAAAGTAAACAAAGAATGATCTGAAGATGTGATAAACCCTTCATTAGAGATTTATAAATGGCTAACAAACACATTTAAAAGTTTCAACATTGTTGGTCAGTAAATACAACTTAAAGCTAAACAAAATACAACCAGATGGTAAAAATATAACCCAAAATGGTTAAAAAATAATAAAACTTATCAAATGTGGGTAACTAAAAAACAATAAGATCATTATTAATTATTCATATATATATATATACACACACACGTATGCGCGCGTGCATACATGCATAAAAATATATATGTATATACATTGTGTGTGTGTGATATATATATATATATATATATATATATATATATATATATATAAATGAAAAGCAGCATAGACAGTTTGAAAACCTTTGGCAGTTTCTTATAATGTTATATATAAACTGACCAGAAGACACAGCAAATCCACTCCTACATATTTACACAAGAAAAATGAAAACACATGTTGGCGCAAAGATCTATATGTGAAATTTTTTTGTGGTAAACATTTTCTGAACTCAGTGACCAGAATGCTGAAAGGTGCTCAATAATATTTTCTGTTAAATATACACCTTATCAACAGTGATTAGAACTTAAGAAGGAAAGAAGAGAAAACAGAACTGCATTGTAGAGAGAGCTGCATAGTCAGGTCTGCTCACCCACGGAGACCAGGTGGCTGTAGTTCTCCAGCATCACCTCTCTGTACAGGGTCCTCTGGGCAGGGCCCATGTGCTGCCACTCCTCCTGGGAGAGTTCCACAGTCACGTCCTTGAACGACACTGAGGCCTGGAACAGCACACAGCTAATCAATCTAAGGGTTCAGAATCACGGACAGGAAAATATTTTTTATCCAAGATATTGTAGTTCATCACAGACAGAAATATGATCACATATTTCTGTAGCAAATAATTTTAAGAAAGTTTAATACCCATTAATGAGTTCTTAACATATTGAGAATGGGAGGATCTTTCTTAATTTGACAAATGGTATCTTTCAAAAAAAAAAAAAAAAACTCTACTGTATATTACCCTTCATAACTTAATACAGAAGACTTCTCCCTGACAGTCAATGGGAATATTGACCATTGATACAAGGAAAGGAAAAGAAAAAAGGTATAAGAGTTAGAAAGAAAAAAATAAGGCCAGGCTGTGGTGGAACATTCCTGTAATCCCAGCAGCTTGGGAGGCTGAGGCAGAAGGATAGCAAGTTCAAAGCCAGCCTGAGCAATTTAGTGAGGCCTTAAGCAACTTAGTGAGACCTGTCTCTAAATAAAATATTAAAAAGGGATGGGGTCGTGGCTGAATGGTTAAACGCCCCCAGGTAAATCTCCAGTGCCAAAAAAAAAAAAAAAAAAAAAAGGAAAAAAACAAAACGCCCATATTTTAGAGGGTATCAGTTGGAAGGCTCATTACTGGATTTCAAGACTTACTGTAAACCTATACTTATCAAGGCAGTGTATTAGCAAACGACAAACACTGATCATTAGAAGTTGAACAGAATCCAGAAACAGACCCATACACGTACAGAGGTGCCAAGGCAATTCAAGGGAGAAGGTACATTGCTTTCAACAAATAGTACTATCAGATGGGTGTGCAAGGGCAGAGCACACAAACAGGGCAGGTGCACGTTCATCCACTTCCATTACGCAGAGCTCACACACCAATCACTAAGATCCTCACACCAGTCACTAAGATTCTCACATCACGAAATTCTAGGTACAGACTGGGCCAATTAGAGCATATTTTGTCCATTTCTAATCAGCAACTTTTATACTAAAATTATGTTTAAAGCTGCTATTGACATAGCAGAGGGAATAAAGTCTTTGTACTATTAAAAATACATCTAAAATATAAATAAAATGAACAAATTTTCTAATAAAATGTAATCAGGAAAACTGCATTAATAAAAGTACCCATGTAGTATAGTTTTATGATAATAAATTGTTTAACAGACTAATAAGTCATCTCAATAAAATCTTCACACAGAAAGTCCTCACAAAGTCCAAATTTATAGGGGAATTTCCCAAAATCTTCATATGACAATACTTTCTCACTATTCTAAATTAGAAAAGGAGTAACAGGAAACTGCCCACTTTTATGAGACTGTAATGATGATAACGTAACTAGACAGGGAAACAAGAGAGTATAATCTAATTTGTGAATATAGAAATAAAAGTCCTCGAAAAAGCTTTAAAAAAAGACTAAGAAAATATGGAAGAATCAATTTAGCACATTTATTAGCAACTAGGGTCTATATAGCAATTCAGGATACTATCAGAAAATCCATTATATTTTTTATAATATTTATAAAGGATATACTATAGCATTTGTCCAACAGACATACAAAAAATATTCCAATATAATTTAATGCCCATTCATGATTAACATGAAATCATAGCAAACTGGTTAGTGGAGGAAGCCCACATATCCCAGCAAATATGTATCTATCAAGGGCTAAGCGCAAACGTTGGAGTTCATGGTAAAACTATATTTCCCATCAAGATTGACTTGACCTATTTCCATTTCCTCTTTTCCATTTAATGCATGGACCCTTCTAAACCTCATAAATCAGTTACATTATAAAGTGAGGGAATGAATAAAGTGCTCACCTGAGATGTATTCATTTTTCTGAGGCTCCTGGGACAGCATAGGAATGGTAAAGGCTCAGCGGGGGGAGAAATAAAGAGAATGGGGTCATAAGACTGCCTGCTTCACAGCTACCAGGTTCTCTTCCCCAACTCTCACCAACCCCATTGGAGGGCAGCTCTAAAAGAGCATCTAAGCCTTGGAATGCATGCAGAGGATCATTACAGGCAGCACACCTGTCCCAGTGCAACTCTGAAATGATCATGGGCTCACACCTGCTGTTTCTTCTAAATGAACATTAAGTCTTCTAGATTGATTTAACAATAAAGCACATGTCCTTCTAGCTAAAATAAAGAAATAAAAACAAAGGATACCTTGATTTAAAGCATTTCAAAGGATCAAACACTATGCTTTCATTAAAATTAGCTTAGCAGAAAAATACTCCATATGCATCATTTATCATTTTTTCTTAGTAACACTGCTTATCCTCTGATAGAGATAACTCACAGAAAGCCTAGTAAAAGAATAAGATACTCTAAGGCAAGGATTTTTGTTTGTTTTAACTGGATGTATTTCTCTAAAAGCCCTTTTGATGAGATGCTTTTGGAGACTTACCTGTGAGTGAACTGTACTATTTTTATCTCCTGTCACCAACTAGGCATCCCTTGGAAAGTCACTGAGACTTTCGTATCCAATGTTTTAAAACTTCCAGAGTCAGAAATATAACTAACTCCCACATGTATCATCATTCTGGGATTCTCTGAAGCCAGGATAAACTCATTAGAGTCACATGTGGTGTCAGACATGTGACAGCAGCACAGCATCTGTAGAATGGAGAAGCAAGGGGTTGAGCCTCTCCAGGACAGCAGAAGAACAGAACTTCCACCTTCTACCTAATCATCTCTCACCTGCAGACCTCCCTGCACAAGCCCTGCCATGAAGTGGACTTCCCCAGGCAACCTGTCCCTGGGCCTCCCTGCCTCACCCTGCTATGTTCAAAGCTGGCCCAAACTTTCTACTGTCACAGTCTGCAGTGGCTTCTGGAGTTGGCACTGTCAGCAAGTCAGGCTCACCCTGGGCAGGAGGAACAAGAACTGCTTCTGATCATGCAAATCTAGGATCTGCTTCTTCTTGGGATCTTGTCTCTTGCTCTGAAGCTCTGGAGAAAGAGCTTAAGTCAGAGAGGTTTCTCTTCCAGGTAAAACTATTGTACACAGAGGGGCCCTTCTTCCTACTTCACAAGGGCTACTTTGTTGCAAGAAGCTGAAACCTGGACCTGAAAAACAAATTCACTTTAAGAGCAAGAACTTGACTCCTGGAATTAATTATGATATCAGAAGATATTAAAAGACACACAACTTGGCAGTGCAGAAGGGGCCAGGAACCTGTCTGATCCAAGGGATCTGAAGAGATACCAGTAATTTCAGAATACATTTAACACATGGTAAAATTCTATATTCACTTCCCATCATATCCTTGTGTATTTGGAGACAAATCAGTCTGCTCAGATACCTGTAACAGATACCTGTGATATTAGCACCTGAAACCAGAAGCAAATCACACCTGCCCTTGAATCTGAGCTCCCTCAACCGCTAGCTATGCAGATGGTCATGTTGATCTTAGAGTGCTGTGGGTTTTAGGTGAGTCATCCAATGAGAAGAACAATTCTCCCCTAAACATAACAGCACTTGTCACTTACCGGGGCTTAGTAACCTGCATCTGGCTGCTCTACAGGTGATGCCTTACAAGTTTCAAAACAGTCATGAGGTCATTACTTACATCCTCGTTCCCAGGTGAGAAACCAGACTCACCCAGGCCACCTAACAGGTGACAGAGCGGGAACTGATCCCAGCCTTTCAGGCTCCAGAGCTCGGGGTCTCGCCCCAGACGCACAGCGACGCGGGTTCTGGCACCGTCGTGTCAACGTCGCGCGCGGGTTTCCCCCGCTGCCGCCGGCTGCCCCGGCTCACGGGCCCGCAAGCACCCCGCGTCGCACACCTGCTCCGCGGGCTCAGTCCCACCTGCGTCCGGGAGCGCGGGCCGGTCCCCACCAGCCTCGGCCCTCCAGGGCCCACCGGTAGTATCCAGGGACGCTGGGGGGCGCAGGAGGTCACAGGACCTGCCGCTTCACTACCGACGGTCCCCTACGCTCATCGACGTGCGCAGCCTCAGCTCTCCGAGCCCAGCCGGAGGCAGCCGAGCCGCCGCCTGCGGAGCCCGAGCAGCCCAGCGAGGGGGCGGGGCAGATGCCGCGCGTGCGCAGAGTCCCCGAGCCGACCGAAACGCCGCGCATGCGCAGCGCCGCCGAGCCCGCCCTAGGCATAGCGCGGCTGGACGGACCGAGTGGAGACTACGAGTCCCGGGAAGCTCTGCGTCTGCGGCTGCCCCACTGGGCGCTCCCGCGGGTTGCAGGCCTGGCGGCTGCAGTTCCCAAAACCCCAGCTGGGGATCTCTAGGAGCCTGAGGAGGTGGGGGGCTCAACTTAAGCGCTACTCCCCAAAGCAGAAGGACCCCTTAGATGGATCCCGATCGAAATGACAGCATTTCCCCTTGGAAATGGTTTTGGGGGCGATGAGGGAAACTGCGCCGCGTGCTGAGAATATTAAGGAAAATTGACGCGTGAAAAAAATGGAGTTACGTTGGACAGTGTTTTGGGTTTTTGTTTTGTTTTTAAAGAAAGGCTTGAAGACTGCAGCTGCAGCAGCCAGCACCCCCAATGAGGCCGCCCAGCACTGTGGTCACAGGGGAGACACGGGGGTGACAGGCACGGACTGGCAATGCTGGAAAATGACTGCTGACATGCGCTCGTGACTCAGTCATCAGGGATTTTGTCAGTTACTTTAGTTGAAGCCTCCTATGTGTAAACTGGGACAGAAAGAAGACCTAAGTCCCTGTTGTGATTTGAGCTACTTTTCTACCCGCGAGAGAGACCTACACACACACACAGTATTTCAAGAAGTCCCTTGCTAGGCGTGGTGGCACATGCCTGTAACACCAGCTACTTGGGAGGTGGAGGTAGGAGAATGGCAAGTTCAAGGCCAGCCTGGGCAACTTAAGGAGACCCCTCTCAAATTTTAAAGAAAAGAAGGGCTGGGGTTGGAGCACAGTGGTAGAGCACCCCAACCCCAGGTTCAATCCCTAATACCACCAATTTTATTTAAGTATTTTTTAATACTGTTTCATTCTGTTGGACTTCATGATTTGGTTGACAGTGATGTTCAAGACTTCCATAACCTTGCTGACTTTTTTTTTTGTTTTGTATCAATTATTGACAATAAGGAATTGCAACTCAAAACAACTATGATTGAGTTGTCTTCTTGATGCCTCTTTCATTCCCTTATGGCCAGAGAGCGTATTTTGTATAATTTCATTCCTGTTAAATTTATTGATCTGCGTTTTATGGCCTAGTACCTGTTCTACCCTGGAGAATGTTCCATGTGCTATTGAAAAGACTGTTTATTCTGTAGTAATCAAGTGGAGTGTTCCATTTGAATGGAGTCCCTAACTTACATCACTGTCTCACAGTGTAATGCTATATCCCTAGTGTGACAAATGGTCTAATGTATGTGTCCCCTACGAGAGTGCCGGCCACCTGGGAGCAGCAATGCTAGATGTTTTCAGTTAATGTTAAATTGTGGCACACTGCAGTATGTTTGGTAAATACTTGTTGACTGACTATGATGCTGGAGAGAGGGCAGAAGAAAGTATTTTGATGAGGGGAGATGCCAGGGAAGGTTGGGAGGGGTTCAGTACTTGGCAGGGAAAGAAGCAAGAAGGAGCAATAGGTACCCAGGGAATCTTGGGTTGAGCCTGTGGGTGCTTAGGTTCACCACTTAATCTCACCACTTCTATTTAATAAAGTTCTTGCAACTCTAGCCAAGAAATCGGGCAAGAAAAGGAAATTAAAGGGATACAAAGATTAAAAGAAGAAGTCAAGTTAACCCTGTTTGCTGACATGATCCTAGTCCTAGAAGACCCCAAAAAAACTCCACCAGAAGATTTCTAGAGTTGATAAATAAATTCAGCAAAGTAGCATGATACAAGATCCTTTCCTATGCTCCAATAATGAATCTTCTGAGAAAGAAATCAGGAAAACTATCCCATTTATAGTAACCTTGAACAATACTTGGGAATAAGTCTAACCTGGGAAGTGAAGTAGCTCTACAATGAAAACTAAGGAACACTGAAGAAAGAAATTGAAAAAAGACTTTAGAAGGTAGGAAGACCTCCCGTGTTCTTGGATATGTAGAATTAATGTTGTCAAAATGGCCATATTACTGGGACTGGGATTTTAACTCAGTGGTTGAGCAATTGCTTTGCATGTATGAGGCACTGGGTTCGATCATCAGCACACATAAATAAATAAATAAAATAAAGATACTGTGTCCATCTACAACTAAGAAAATATATTTTTAAGAAATGGCCGTATTGGGCTAGGGATGTGGCTCAAGCGGTAATGCGCTTGCGTGGCATGCACGGGGCACTGGGTTCGATCCTTAGCACCACATAAAAATAAAATAAAGATGTTGTGTCCACCAAAAACTGAAAAATACATATTAAAAAATTCTCTCTCTCTCTTTAAAAAATTTTTTTAAAAATGGTCATATTACCAAAGGTGTTATACAGGTTCAACACAATCCCTATCAAAATTCCAATGACATTCTTCATAGAACTGGGGGCTGAGGGAGTCCTTGAATTCATGTGGGAGAATAAAAGACCCAGAATAGCCAAAACAATCCTGAGCAAAAAGAGTGATGCTGGAGGTATCACGATACCCAAACTCAAATTATATTACCAAGCTATAGTAACAGAAACAGCATGGTATTGGCATCAAAATAGACATAAAAGACCAATGTAATAGAATAGAAGGCACAGAGACAAACCTACATAGTTACAATCATCTGATGCTTAGCAAAGGTTCCAAAAATATATATCGAAGAAAATATAGTCTTTTTAACAAGTGGTGCTGGGGAAACTGGAAATCCGTATGAAGTAGAATGAAACTAAATCCCTATCTCTCACCCTGCACAAAAATTGAATCAAACTAGATCAAAGACTTAGAAATTAGACCAGAAACTTTGCAACTGATAGAAGAAAACATAGGGTCAACACTTCAACATATTGGTGCAGGCACCAACTTCCTCAACAAAACCCCTAAAGTTCAAGAAATAAAACCAAGAATCCATGAGTGGGATGCCATCAAATTAAAAATAAAAATAAAAGTAAAAAGGGCTGGGGATGTGTCTAAGTAGTTAAGCACCCCATGGTTCAATCCCTGGTACACAAAAAAGATGCCCCCCAAACAAGATAAAACAAAAACAGAACCAAAATTGAACCCTCATCTAGCACACCGCCTGGGTTTCTCTGGGGAAGCACCAAAGTGGGGGAAGCCAAGATACTACTGAAAAGTCTTCAAAAATCAATGACCAGTTGAACAACAGCCTACAGACATGAATCACGCCTGCATTATGAATCTAAACAGGTTGATTCTCCATTAAAATAAACGGTTTAAACCGTAAATAGTCTCATGATAAAATACCAAAACTTCCAGGATGTAGTGCAAAATTATTGTTCACACTAGGAAAAAATGAAACTACTAACTTGCATAAGAAAATATAATCTTCAGACCCAATGCTGAGATGATACAAATATCGCAACTACCTACAAGGATTATCAACATCATCATCATCATCATCATTTGGTACTGGGGATTGGACCCAGGATGGTTACCACAGAGTTACATTCCCAACCCTTTTTATTTTTTCTTTTGTAACAGGGTCTCACCAAGTTGCCCAGGCTGGCCTCAAACTTGGTGAGTCTCAGCCTCAGCAGCTGGGATTATAGGTGTGCACCACAATGCCCAGCCGACAAAGATTTTTCAAGCAATGCTCCAACAAGCAATTACAAACACTTCTGGAATAATGAAAAGTAAAACCACAGCAAAGAAATGGAAGACACAAGGAAAAACTAAGTGCAAATTTAGAAGTGAAAAATTAATAAAAACAAAATTGCACTGGATGGACATAATGGAAACGACAGAGGAAACATAAGAGGACTTGACACATTCAGAAGAAATTGTCCCATTGGAATAAAGGAGACAGAATGGATTGGGTGCCATCTTAGAAACAGAGAGCTGGCTCACCCAACAACCAAAACTGTCAATGCCTTGATCTTTAGCAATTCCCCAGTCTCAGTTATTCTTTTAGAGCAGCACAAATGGACTAGGAAACATATTAATTGATTTTTTATAAGGGTGTCAAGCCATTTAATGGGGAAAGAACAATATTTTCAATAATCGATGATGGGAAAACTGAATGTTCACATGCAAAATAAAAACAGTAGATTCTTACTTAGCACCATATACAAAAATTAACTCAAAATATATAAAATTCTAAACATACCAGCTAAAGTCATGAAGCTCTTAGAAGAAAGCAGCACAAGAGCTTTATTAGACTTGGCAATGATTTCTTAGATGTGACATTAAAAGCAGAAGCAATGAAAGAAAATTAGGTAATTTGGACTTCATAAATATTAAAAATTATCTTACATAAAAGAACAAAATCAACACAGTGGAAAAGTAACTTTTTTTTTTTTTTTTTTTTTTTTTTTTTTTTAAAGAGAGAGAGAGAGAGAATTTTAATATTTATTTTTTAGTTTTCGGCAGACATAACATCTTTGTTAGTATATGGTGCTGAGGATTGAACCCGGGCCGCACGCATGCCAGGCAAGCGCGCTACCACTTGAGCCACATCCCCAGCCCCGAAAAGTAACTTTTGAAATGGGAGAAAAGACTCGCAAATCATGAGCCAGATAAGGGATGAATATCCAGATATAAACAACTCCTATGACCCAATAACAATAATTTAAAAAAATTCAAAAGTGTGCAAAAGATTGGAATAGATATTTTCCGAAGAAGATGTATAAATAGCTAGTGAGCATATTCAAAGGTGCTAGCCATTAGTGAACTGTAAACCACAATGAGATATCAGTTCACACCATTAAGATGTTGAGTGTTGAGATGTGGAGAAACTGGAATCCCTGTGCATTACAGGTGGGAATGCCCCAATGTTACAGCTGTTGTGGGAAACACTGGAGCTTCTTCAGAGGGTTAAGCACAGAGGTTGGAGATGTAGCTCCTGCCCATCATGTGCAACACGGACACACACACACACACACACACACACAGAATTTTATGATTCAGCAATACAAAAAAGAAGAAGAAAAGAAAA